CCTGGCGGTGGGGAGAAAACCCTAATCGGGTCGCAACATGCGACAGAGGGATTTAGCGGGACGGGATGGGGATTGGAGAGCATGCAAGATAATAAAGTAAAACCCACACGGAAATGGTATGCGGGTGATGGTGGGGGCAACATGATGAGGTGCGAGGTGGCGTGAGATGGGGGGTAAACAGGGGTATATGCTTGGGAGGGATGCAGCGCGCCAAAACCCTAAAAGGATTTATTTAAAAGTAGAAACTGAGACTCGGTTTCCGAAAGCGCGGGGGGCCTGGGCAATCCTCGTGTCGGGGGAGGTGGGGGAAGCAATGAGCAGCCAGGCAGCAACAGGGGGATAAGCGAGCGACGGCGATGTGTGTGTTCGCCTGAAATGCAGTTGCAAAGCCGTGAGAGTAATGTATGTGTATGTGTGTGTATGCATGTCCTTGTGTCACGGGGAGACCCCAGAACCCCAACCCTGCGCACCTGCATGGTCGTACCGTTCCCTCGTGAAAACTCTGCCGTACGGATCGTACCGATAGGCGGGTATCGTGGGGTTGGCAATCATGATGGCTTCTAAATGAAACCTGCGGCTCGACGTACATGCATACATACATACATACATGGCCGGATGGAGCGGCTGCGGAGTGGCTGCGTAGAGTGTTGGCAGTTTGAGTCGGGGTCGGGAGCACACAAGACTAACCGACTTGTGCTGTGTGCTCCCGACCCTTGCGCTGTGTTTCGGCTTCGCCCCCCGCCTCTCGAAGCCCACAGTGTAATCTAAGTCATACATGCATACATGCATACATGCATACATGCATACATACATACATACATACATACATACATACATACACACACATACATACATACAGACACGCGTGCAAGCGACCAGGCGCACACGCACCTCCCGTCGGACACGAAGACTATGACGTCTGCAGAATTCGGATCCACCACAGGTGCCGTACACCCCAGGACCTCCCCAGGCGACAGCGGCTTGCACTTGGGTACGGCGAGTGATGGAAAGTACGGCGCGAGACGCTGCCGTGCCAGCTGCACGGCTGATGCAAATTGGATGGTTCCTGGCGTGGCGAAGAAAGGAAGGGGGAAGAGGGGAAAAACACACCGGGGCAATGGCGTGTGAAGAACAGCAGCAGCAGCAGCTGTACGGCACAAGACGCGGGGTCACGTACGGCGTTTACTACCCACCCACCCACCCACCCAACCCCCCACACCCAGCCGCGCGCAACGTCTTCTCCGCCCACCCCCCACATCTCCACCTGCCAGTACGAGCCGTGTCTCCCTCCTCTCCTCCCTCCTCTCCTCCCTCCTCTCCTCCTCCTCCTCCTCCTTCCCCTTGTTGTTCAGGAAGTTGAGCTTCACGGTTTCCACCAGGTGGTCCACGTCCACGGCAATGTCCACAAACACATACAGACACGGCAGACACGTCACATCCACGGGCACCAGGCACGAGTGGCCGTAGTGCACCAGGAAGTCGGCGCCCAGAGCCGCTGCGGAGAAGTCGTCGATGCAGCAGGCGCCGTACGTCACATCCCCCATGACCAGCGAGTGCTCCACCCCTATGCGGAATAGGGGGTGTAGGTGTGTGTGCTTGTGTGTGTGTGTGTGTTTTTGTGCTTGTGTGTGCTTGTGTATGCTTGGGGAAGATCCCCCACACACACATATCTGGATATCTACCTACCTACCTATCTACCTACCTACCTACCTGCCTTCCTACCTACCTACCTGCCTTCCTACCTACCTACCTACCTACCTACCTACCTGCCTTCCTACCTACCTACCTACCTACCTACATACATACACACGCATACATACACAGGATATGTAGGGTGTGATAAAATCAACTTGCGAGCTAACCAGGAAATACGTTGAGGCGCCGTTGATCCGCTAGATTTGGTTGGATGCTGGTGGTGAGTTGCCGAACCCAACGAATACATTCTGAAATCGGATGGGGTGAATGGATTAGGGTGCCCCTCTAGCAGGGGAGAGCAGGGAACTGCCTCGGGAAGGAGGCCAGTGGTGAAGCTATACCATCCTGTGACGGCATACATACATACACACACAGCCCACCTGCAAATGTTTCCAAGATATCCGCAATGGCACACGCGTACATTTGCAGACCCTCCGGGAACTGCAGCGCCACTGTACGAGCACCCGCCTGACGCAACCGCCAAACCGTTTTGTGGATCTCGAAATTGTAATTGGCGGGCAATACCCCGATGGCCTCATTCAGTTGGTCGTTGTTCAGGATGTCGTCGGGTACCTGCTGCCTTACAAACCGCTTGACGGTTGTTGAGATCGTTGTGGTGGCGACGGCGCTTTTGGTGTTGGCGGTGGCGTGGGTTACGACGGCACTGGAGGCTGGGGGATATTAAGTGTTGTCGTACCATTCCGGATATAAGGCGCAGTGAGGGTTTGGGGGATTAGGGGGTTAGAGACATGTAGGCGGGTTAGGGGGTACCAGGTACGGATCTGGAAGTTGTACGGGAATGAAAGGGGACGAGAGCAGGTAGAAGGACACGTCTGTGTTTCGGCAGGGGGTTTTGGGCCCGGGGAGGAAAGAAATGGTTAGGGGGAAAAACTTGGGGAATTGGGGGGAGCTGAAGGGTTGAATATGCGAGGGAAAGGGGGAAGAGGGAAAAAAGCAGGCGGGAGGATGGTGTGGGTGTATGGACAGTGAGCTCACGTAAATGTGTGTGAAGGGGAGGGTCGAGGAGGGTGTAGTGTCTTGGATTTGGGGACGCGGCAGCGAGGCGGCGAAGAAAAGTTTTGGGAGCGCGAGTTTCGAAGAGGTGACGTCACACAATGCCCGAGGGGGGTTGTTATTTTTTTTGTTGTTACGATTTCGGAGACCGTTGTCAGTTTATAAGATGAACGTAGGCTTACTTCCGGCTTGCGCCCCAGAAAATCGCCGGGTCTCGCTCTCTGGCGGCGCGCTGTCCTCCATTGACGCTATCCCGCTTGGATGTGATCACACCTATTAGACCTTTAATGGTGTGTGGGTTAATTCAGGCTGTCCACCAGCTAAAAGTAACATGGGTTCTTCAACTTTTTGTGGATCTGGAAGCCGTGGATTTGGAAATCTCCTTCTTGAAATTGTATAGCTAGGCTAGACTTGCAAACATGCGAGAATTCGTGCGTTGCGTTTATGCAGAACGGCACCGATGAAAGTTCACGCAGGTTTTCCAGCAAGCACGGACAACCGATTTTGAACCAGGTCGTTGACCACAATGCGAATTGTACCTTGCAAGTTGTTCCCTTTCAGTTTTGCACATTTACAGTCTAACAGATGCTAACGGACAAGTTCGTTGGAGAATTGCCTGACTGCTGTCACCGGGCGTACCAGCGGCGAGACGTTCGGCATTCTGGGTGCATTCGAGGACATTTCACGCAAAGGCTTATCAGCATCCAGACAGGATACCATATCATGAACGGAATGAACCGTTTGGATTGTTGGGTGCATAATGGCAATCGGTGCGAGGATTTACGGCGAGACAGTAGCTTTGAAATTAATAGAGGTTAATCTGTTGACCTTTACGTGTCATGTCGCTGTAACCTTACGTAAGTCGAAACTCGGAAGGATGACTTTCATGGATCACTGGATTACATCAGTGCAAAACGCGAATCCCCAACTTCCTATCATCCCAAATGACATTTATTTGAACCCGTAATTAATAAGAGCTCGCGTACTGTCAACCTTGGGAGAGAAAGCCGAGAGGTCCACTTTTATTGCCTAAAACAATACATAAACAACCAACAAGAATTCGTGCAGTCAGCCGCATAATCCACTTTACCTTAGTCCTCGTCCTTGTAAGCATGGGCCTTGTCATGGCACAGCAATGCAGCACGTCTGGCCGGATGCCTACTTTGTTCCTTCCGCATGGAGGAGGACCGATGCCAATCCTTGGCGAACCAAGCCACAAGTCTCTTATCTCTTATCTCAAAGGCGTATCGAAGTCTGTACCAAAGCCAACGGCAATACTTTCTGTAACGGCGCACTGGGAGGTGAGGATGGCGGGTCATCGTGAAATGATGGACTGGGTTCGATATCTTAGTATCGGTAGATTCCTATTCCTACTCCCCGTGTTACTTTCCTACTAGGAAATTTGACATGGATGCTGAATCAGGAAACGCTTCGAACCCTGGCACCCTTGGGGGCCCCTAATCCCCCCCTCTTACCCTCCTAATCCCCCTCCTCCATCCTCCGCCTCGGCCCTTCCCCCCACACACGCGCGCCTACCCACATCTAACCCATCCCCTTTCCTGCCCGCCTGCCCGCCTGCACCTGTATGTATGTGTGTGTGCGAGTCTCCGTAGGCGGATCGCATCATGGTCAGTACGGCACCGCAGCCCACCATGCTGTACGACTACTACGGCTTTCCCCCCGAGGTACGGCATTCAAAACACCATGCATCACCCGGGAGCCGCCTGGGCTCCGGATCCCGGCCTTTGGGGGTTTTATGTTGCCATGTGCGGGTAGCAGTATCGGCGAAGGCTGGGGAAGGGCTGGCGGGGATGCGGATAGTATGCGAACGTGCGCGCGGCCTAGTAATTTTGTGTGTATATGTTTGCATGTATGTATGTTGTTACAGGGTGGTATAGCTTCACCAGCGGCCCAATTTCCCGAGGCACTTCCCTGCTCTCCCCTGCGAGAGGGGCACCCTTATCCATTCACCCCATCCGACTTCAGAGTGCATGTATGTATGAGTGTAAGAATGTGGAGGAAATAAACTTCGTCTTTAGCCCCCACTGACCTTGCGCTCCCTCTCTCCCCGTGTGCACATCCCGATACACACATGTCGGGACACGGCAGACACCACACAATGCCCAAAGCGTGTCGTTTTTTGTCGGTCCTTCGCCCCACCCCGCCCCTTATAACCCACCCATATGCAGCCCCCCAGCGCCTTGCTGAGTCAGCTACTGCGGGTTTCCCTCCGTGCGTGTGCGTGTGTGTTTTGTCGTACAGTCGTACGAATTGAAGTACCCAGCCCCTGGCTCACCGGCTCTGGCCCAGCGGGTGCTGGGGCTGCTGGCGGGCGCAGGGATCCCCGCCGCGGGCGACGCGTCCCGGGGTTTCGACCACGGCACGTTCGTCCCGCTGATGCTGGCGTTCCCGGACGCCACCACGCCGGTATGTGGCGGGAATGGCGGTGGGATCTGCGGGTGTGGTGGCGGGAGATGTGTATGTGTGTGTATGCGTGTGTGCGTGTGTGCAAACGTGTGTGCAAAAACGTGTGTGTATCGGGGGGCCCTATAGGGCCCCCTGAGCTACCTGCCACCAGCTGCCTGATGCCGTGTCCGTCCCTACGGCCTCCAGCCAGCTGCCCAATCCCATTCCTGGTCCCTGCCCCCCTCGGGAGGCCCCTGGAGTCCAAGATTACGCAAGCCATCACTGATCAGTGAATTTTCCTGCCCACCTGCCCCCCTGCCCCCCCCCCCTGGGGGTTTACCAGGTGGTTCAGATGTCGCTGCACAGGTCCCTGGACCCCAGGTCAGTGGTGTGGCGGCTTGAGCGCTGCAAGGCGAGGCGAGGGGAGGGAAGGGGGGAAAGACGAACCACTGGCAAAAACATGTGTAGAGACCAAAGATGTAGTCCAGGAGGGAAAGGAAACAAATGCTGCATCAGGAGTATTTTTATTATTGACCAGTGATGGCCAGTGAGTGGTGGTAGTCTTGGCGGCGACGTCGCTTCTAGAGTTACTAGACCGACTGCGCTCTTTCCCGATCGGCTTTCCCTGCCTGCCATTTGCTAACCTATTTGTTGTCTGTCTGTCCGTCTGTCCGTCCGTCCGTCTGTTTGTTAATTTGCTCATCTGTTTGTCTGTCTGTCTGTCAGGCTGCATTTATCCGTGGGTGCCGCTCTCGCTCCCCTCCGTGACGAGGGGGTGCTCATCGTAGGGAGCGGTATGAGCTTCCACAATATGGAGGTGTTTCGGCGCAACGGTTTCGGAGCGGGGCCCAGTACGAAGAAGTACAAACCCAGCGAGGTGCGTGCGTGTGTGTTTGTTTGTGTGTGTGTGTGTGTGTGTTTGTATGGGGTGATGGGGTGAATTGTATGCAAGGAAACCAGAAATGAGCTGCCGGCTTCCTTTTAAAGTCCGAAAAACTGCCCCTGGTGAGTCCTCCTAAGCGATGAAATCATCGAGGGGTAGGGAGAGGGGGGAAAGAGGGAGAAAAAAGGAGGGGGGAGGGAAGGGCGGCTGGCTGGCATTGGTGTAATACACAACCAAACCAAGCCCAAGGGAGAATTCATCGGCGGTCATTGGCGGCGGCGGCGGCGGGAAGGGCTGTGGCGCGGCGGCTGCTACAGAACGTCAGCAGTGGAGCGGCGTTCCCGAGGGCGGGCCCACAGGCGGGCGGGCCCGCAGGTCCATCAATGTACCCTGACCGACAGACTGACAGACTGACAGCAGTGGAGCAGTGTCATTGCCACCGCAGCGGCAGTGGCAATGCCACAGCCATAGCTGTATAGCAACTATGTTCACGTGTGTGTGGATGTGCGTGTGTGTGCTTATTTGTGTACGGAAGGCTACGTGTGTGTTTCGTGGCTGTCAGATGCGGCCCCGGGAAACCCGCGTGTCCCTTGGGTCGGTGGTCGCCGGCATATGCGAATGTGCGCTTTCCTTGTTGTTACACCCCCACCTCGACAAAACCCCTCCCCTCCCACCTCACCCCCTCTCCCCCCTCTCCCTCCAGGACTTTGACAGCTGGTTGCAGCAGGCGGTTACCGGGTCCCCCTCCCCCTCCTCCTCCTCCCCCTCGGGCGCATGGAGATCTGAGCAGCTGGCCCAGTGGGCCGCAGCTCCCGGAGCTAGGGAGGTGAGACTCGGTAGGGGACAGACAGACAGACAGACAAACAGATAGGCAGACGGACAGATAGGCAGACGAACAGACAGGCAGGCGGACAGATAGACAGATGGATGGGGAGAAAGATTGATGAACAAGGGAGGGTAACTTAGACCCTGTTGAATTGCTGGCCATTACCATCCTCCTTTTTTCCATTCTTGCATTTCATTTCCAAACCTCCCCCACTTCCCATCGTCTGCCCCGTTTTCCCGCGGGTACTTGTACGACATACACAGTGTCACCCCCGGGAGGAGCACCTGATACCCCTGATGGTGGCGGCGGGGGCTGCGGAGGGCGATCCGGGTCGTAACGCCTACAGCGACTGGTTTGTGGGAACCAAGGTGTCCGGTTTTGTATTTGGATAAGGATCGATTCCTTAAAATGATGATGGTGGTGGTGGTGGTGGTGATGACGATGGTGGTGGTGATGATGGCGGTGGTGGTGGTGTTGGCGATGATGTTGTGGCTGCTGGGTTAATGGGGATGATGATGTTCTGTCTGCGGGTGGTAATGGTCAAGTACAAATTGCACTGATGATCATGATGATGGCGATGATGATACAGGCTCCGGTCCCGTCGTCAGACCCAGATTAGAGGCTTCATGTCGGCGGCTGGTAGCGGTCAATGAGCTCGTGTTGCTGTTCCTTGGGGAGTAGGGCTCCTTTCAGCTGTCTCGCTTCATCGTTTTGTGATTTCGCATGATGTTGTTGATGGTGATGGTAACGACGATGTATCCGTCTCATGTACGGCAACGACTTTCGTGTCATTTTCCGTGATAAAACGTTTTTGAGTTGCTGGAAATAAAACGATTTTTAAAAACCTCGGTCAAGCGGTCAAGGAGTTGTGGAGATATACATGTAGTTGGAAGAAGCGGTCTGCTGTGGCCTTTGACCGCTACCTGTTCAACAGCGGCGGCCTCCGGACGACTGTACGACTGGGTAGAACAAAGATTCCTGGATTCATGGATCCAGGGGCGCCACGTGTACGAATACAATCCGGGCGGATTTCGGATCCACGTAGATCCACTCTCGGCCGCTGCGTTTCACGTACTCCCCAGTCTCTGTGGTCGAGTACCTAGGGGACCGTTGCGGTGTTGGTGTTGGTGATGTGGTGGGTTAGGCATTAGGAGGAGAGGGAGGAGGGGGAGGAGGGGAAGGAGGAGAGGAAGGAGGAGGAGGAGGAAAAAACGAGGAAGAGAAGAGAAGAGGGAGGGAAATAGGAAACGGAGGAGGAGAAGAAGAGATCTCACAGACCTCACAAACCATGTAAATAAAGGCGCTAGCGTGCGTATCACCACGTATCAGTTACGTACAAGGTACTCGCAAGTTAAGGCCTTAGGGAGGGACTGAGTGTGGTGCGCTGTGGTGGCTGAATGGTTTCCATCCGGGCATCCCGGTGAAGCATCCCTGAGCATGCTCAGACATTGCATGCTCAGAAAGGCATGTACGACATGTCGTACGCGTTGCCGTACCTGTTAAACTCCACCGCTACCTTGACAGCCTCCGGCCTCGGCTCCGACCTGTCCACCAACCCCAGTGAGGTGACCTCCCACTTCACATCTGGGTACCTGGTGGGAGGGAATTGGTGGTGGTGGAGGGGGGGAGAGAGAGAGAAGACGGATACAAAGGAGGGGGAAACAGATTCAGACATGAGCTGCCTGACTGCCGGAAGGCGTCCAAAGCCTTGTAAGAAACTGCCCCCAGTGAGTCCTAAGCGATGATGATGAAGTCACTGACCCGTGGTTCAGGAAGCCATGTAACGTTAAGAGCGCCAGTGCATTGAAAGAGCACCAAACACCAACCCAAATTCCTCCACATGGCGGGAGGGGCCGGGCAAGTAACGACGGTAAACATGAACACACACTTTTGTGTTACTTACACATACATACACATACATACACATACATACATACATACATACACATACATACATACACATACATACACAACCCATTACGTTGTCATACTGCAAACCAAAGCCAAAAGCAAAAAACCGAAACACAGACAGTCAGTCACGTAGCCACCTGGCAAAGAAGCCGTTCATCATTTCCCGAATGGCCGGAAGACCGATACACACGGTGCCGAGGGCATCGCTACGGTAGGCAGCATCGGCGGAGAACATGCCGTACACCTGTACGACAGCAGCAGCGTCAAAGGACCCGGGAGGGGGCGGAGGGGGCCAGAAGGGAGGGACGGGCCTCTCTTGTTCCCCGTGGGGCTTTCCCCCCTAGGAGGTCTGTTTGATGGGTTGCTGTTATCTTTTAAGAGATAATTTTAGGGAAATAAAAGCCGCCAAGCTCCTGGAGGACTGCTCCAGGGACGGTTTCGTTGTGCGCGGCATTAAATTTCTTTGAGCATTTAAGGAGCAGAAAACTCTGTTACCCTGAGAGGTCGGGCGGTGCTTATAGGCGATCTGGCAGCCCTTGAGCCCTCAGCTCGTATTAGGGTGGTTTGCAGGTGTGCAGGTACGGGGAACGCACCCCCACGACCATGTAACACACATACATACAGATAAAACCCGTGTAAGGTAGCTTCCAACACTCCTAAACCCTAAGTTATTCCCACCTGCTCCAGGGAGGAAGCCCGCGACAGCCGCATGTACTCCGCCGCCACCCTGCGAGCGACCAGAGCCGCCTCTTCCTCCACCACCTCCTCCTCAGCCCCCTCCACCTCCTCTTCCTTAGCTTCTTGCCGCCGTTGCTGCTGCTTTTCAAGATACCCGGCCGGGTCCCCTGAATGACCCACCATCGCCCACAAGGCCCCGCAACGACCGTCGATTAAAAAGCTCCGGGGCCACCCTCCTAACCCCGACGACGGCGCGCGGCGACGGCGTACGACAAGTCGTGGCACGCTGCTGTCGTACATACACACACGTCCAACGGCATAGGATCAAGGAGAGACGCGCTATGGGGCATTCGGAAATGGAGGATTAAAAACGTATTGTATATAACTTGGGTGCGAAGCAGGTTCGCTTTGTGTGTGCGTGTGTGTTTACATGCGTACAGCGCCCGGTCGCTATGATGTGAGTAGCCGGTAGCGGAGGAAGCTGTTTGATTACCTGCTACAATTGAGCTATTAGGTGAAACTAGTCATGCAAGCCGGGGCTGCACAGCACAGCCCCTTACGAATAAGCTTACGTCTTAGGCGGAGACTGCCGTTAAGTCGGTAGGCATGTTAGGCATGAGGCCATCGCGCCTGCAGCCGCATTACCTTGCATGCCTCGCGGAGCCATGCAGTAGGTGTCGCTTGGAGTAAGCTGCTGGAGTTTGTACGGGTGGGCGCTGGGCTCTTTGGCTGTAGGGCTGGGCCGACTGTTGAAGGGCGGAAGGAGCAGCGCCAAGCAACATACTTGCCTGGCGCGTGATGGCAGCAGCACGAACACAGTAGCGGTCACGTTCACTGTGGAAGTTCCCTAACTCTTAAAAGCGTGATATCAAAGCAACTTTACAGAGGATTTATCATATAGACTATATATCGTACAATTTGCTCGATGTACTCGTTTGGGCAATTTGTTTACAGTAATGCTCAAAGCTTAGATCACGGTAGTAGATAGACGTTTGTATTTGCTTTACAAGCCATTTCGTGGGACGCCCCGAGGATGGCGTTGACGCGAGTGCTGTCGCGACGCACCCTAAAGCTTGGCCCCTTAGCACCTAGATGCCTCCGGGGTATTCAGAGTGGAAAAGAGGATTCAAATCAATTGCCATCAGTGGACACAGATGACAAGCCGAGCACATCATCGAACCCGGCGCTGGGTTGGCTTCGCGGACCGGAGGCCAACAAACCCAACAAGTCTGTTGAGGATGAATGGGAGGAGCTACGAGATCCTCAAACAGGCGCTGTCTCGTGGCGAAGCATTATGACGGGTGAGTCTGTACGGCTTCGCTTCTATACCGTTCGGTACTGCACAAATCCTTTGGACCATCGTCGTGCGTGGGACGCCGATCATGCCAAGCAAATCCAATTCAAGCCTTGCCAGTTTGGCAACTCCTGGATTCCTCTGAAACCCAAATGGACAGCTCTTTGCCACCATGCTCGCGTTGTCATCGTCATCAGCCGATAGGTTGACCGTCCTGCCAAAGCTTGATTTTCGGAGCTTCTTGCATATGTCTGGAGCTGGCTTACCTTCCCAAGGCTGAGATTTGCTTTCTGAGTTTGGTTTCTTCACTTCACCGTGGAAGCAAGCCCCTACTGTAATGCCTGAAGTTGCTCTTGCCAGTCAACCAATGCAGCGGCGAGCTGCTGCTCCAGCTACCACTCTAGAGTGCTGTTACCCCCCTTAATTTATCGTGGGTTTGGGTGCCGTACTTTCGTACTTTCCCCTAACTAGGTGTCAAGCCTGATACCTGGTAGCCGTACTTCCGTACTGCCGTACAGCCCCGTGTCAGCGCTGTCTGCCCAACCCACGTATATGAGTCATAACCCCCATATTCTCCGCCGCGTCTTTTTGTATCCTTTTTTTCGTTGCCCAATATAACATATACTGCTTTGTGCGGACTGCTGTTGATGGCTTTCGGACGTGCCGGCCGTTGGCCCTTTGCTTCTTCTTCATCTTCTTCTCCTTCTTCTTCTTCTTGCATCATCACAATATGATTACCCCCCCCATTAGGTGAGACGACCGTTCCCGGGGCGCCCAAGCCCGATACGTGGATAGAGGTACGGGTGCGGGCGGCAGTGGGGCAGTGGGGAGGTGGTGCAGCTCTGACTGCAGACGGGAGACAAACAAGATAAAGAGAACCCCCAAACAAGATGAAAACCTTAGAAATCCTAAAACCCTAAAACCCTTAAAAATGCCTGGGGAGAATGGGGGGGAAAGGTTACGGTGGGAGTTCCCACGGTGCGGAAGGTCTTTGGATTGCCGTACAAACCGTACGACAGGCCAGTTGGTTTCCTATTGTGCAAGCAAATTAGCTGGGTTTTGGACTCTAGGGGTGCAGTACTGTACTGTACGGGAAAGCTGCGCCGGCACACCGGGATAGATATCTCAACCCCATGGGCTCGGCTTGGTGGTTGGACGGGTGTGTGGTAGCTGGCTGCCGCTGAAAAGGCCTCTCGTGATACTGCCAGTGTTTGGTGGAGCGCTTATTAGCGCGTATTTGTAGACGTTATGTGTGTCGTACTGTGTACCAGCAACTACATCGGGCCAGTGTCCGGTATGGTGCGGCACGTTCTGTACTGCAGCAGCTGCTACTGTCGTACATTTGACACACGTGCTTTGTGTGATTATTCCACCTGATGACGCTGGTGCTGCTGTCGTACGACAACTGATCCTGCTGCCCGTTGTACGGCTCAGGTAGTGGACAAGAAAACCGGGCTGATATATTACTGGTGTAAACGAACTGGTGAGTGGTCGTTGGTGGGTTGGAATCTGTGTTTCGTTGTTAGTTTGTTGGTGGTTAAGAGAGTCGGTTATTTTGGGAAACGCTTTTGGGGGTATTTTGAAGCTTAGGATGTGAGTTGGGATTTGGGAGCTATGCGGATGGCGAGCACAGGGCCTTATATGTCTGTGGTGTAAAACACACATACATACACACATACACACACGTACACGTACGTGTTCAGATGACTTCTCTCGTGGCCCTCTGGCAACGTGAACGTGTACTTTGTGCCGTACACTGCCACCGCCGAGTACTGCCGGTGACCTCCGTACACTGTACGTCGACCGCCATCCGTACACCACGCAGGCGAGACGACGGTGCTTGGGGAGCCGAAGCCGGGGCCGTACGGCCGTAAGGCCCAATTCGACACGGAGGATTTGCATGTTGAGGGCGAGGGTGGTCAAGGGAGGGCGGGTGCGGAAGGCCCCAGTTTGATGCGGTTGGTGGCAAATCCGCTGATTATCGGAGTGTCCCTATTGGCGGTGCTGGGGATAGCGTACGAGAGCTTTTTTAAGTAGACTAGCTCTGGACCAGATCCGGAATCGATTTGAAATCCAAATCCAGGAACTCCAGGACGGATCCAATTTGATGGATCGCCATTCGGAACCATTCTGGATGTTTCTGTGCGGGAGGCGATCTGGGTCAGATCCAGATCCGGATCCTACAGGAGTTCTTTTTGTTTTTTAAATTATGAATCCATGTAAGCGGCGGGAAGAGGCCAGCTGGGCCGGCCGGCTGGTGCACCCGAGGAAGCAGCCCGAGCCCAACAACAAGAAGAAGAAGAAGAAGCAGAGGCATCACACTACACTGCAGTAGTACTGCAACATTTTGTAGAGCTATCTTTATACTACAGTAGTACGGCATTTGTTTGGTAGGTAAAGTCCAGAGTCAACAGGTGGCTTCAGCATCAGCAGTTTGTAACAATTAAAAAGGCAATTGAGCAGAGAGTTCAGCTTCAGCGGTGGCAGCGTACTACATTAAACGTACAGCACAGTACGGTACAGGTACGGTGCAGTACAGTAAAAACCACACGCAGCCTGAGCGATGTGTGGTAGCAGTTTCTTAAAATCCTCCGGAGATAGAGCAGTGGTGGAGCTGGCAGCAGCACGTTTGGAATCCTATCGTCCTCTTCGGAAATACACGCTGAAAGGTGGAGGTGGAAAAGGAGGGGAAGGCAAGGTTAAAAGAAGGACTCGGATTTGTGCTTACTGTGCTTATGTGAGCGCATCGCATCCCGATCTGGTATTCAGATTCTGCAACTGTATGACTGTAGCTTAGGAAGCTTAGAGTACGTGAGAACAACAGTAAGCTCCAATAGTGTAGGCAGAATGCCGGAACTATGGAGCTATCAGCTGAAGTAGCAAATTCGAAATTAAGCAAGCCATGCGGCTGCCGTACATAACTTAGCTTAGAGGCTACACTCGGTTCGCTCCTGCCACATCTAAGCTACAATTATGGCCTGTAGCCTTCATGGCTTGCTGTACGGCTGCGTTCGGGGTGCCGGACAGGACAGGGCGAGGAGTGCGGCATCGTCGTCAAGCCGGGTGTTTAGCTGCGCCTCACTGTCCTGCAGTTGGTTTCGGAGGTATTTGTTGGGTTCCTATCCTAATCCTGCAACCAGTGCCCTAATTCCAATCCTTGCGCTCAATGCATATCCGAATCCTACCCCGTCTCACCTAATCCTAATTTTCTGTCTGACCTGAGCATCTAATCTTTGCAACCCTCCTGTCTTGGATCCTCGTGGAGGACGATCAAGACCAATTGATCTTTAAGTTTAGTTGGAGACACGTTCCTTATCATTTCAATGGCCAGATCCTTGCATAGCTCATAGGCTTTAGCCAAGGAAGCTGTGACCGCCAAAACAATGTACGAGCTGTACGTGAAAGGTTTCGGAGGCTTACAGGAAACAAGCGCGGTAGGAATCATATTGTTAGAACAAGCTGCCCAGACACGGTGATCATATGTATCAGAAGTACGTATGATAATTGGGCGGTGTTGCAAATCCAACTTTATACCCGTCTAGTCACACGCAATCATTTTCGGGTTCTGTTATAAGAGACCACTTTGAGGCATAATTATATTCTCAGTTATGTCGCCCGCTCTGGATACCTTAACAGAGGACCATGCCGCTGTCTACGATAGACAGCTCCGCGTTTGGGGCGTGGAGGTGCAGCGCAGGTCTGTGAGATATCCGCATCGCAATTTCGTCATGCTAGGACATAGTGGGCTCAATTACCACCACAGCGCGCTCGGGCTTTTGGCCAACGATGTCGGGATTCATACCGTACGTGTAACGTGCAAGCCCTGTCGGGCACATGCCCTATCGGGGACCTTCCGTCGTAAACCATTTCCTTCCAACAGTACACAACACCCTGCCTGTACAACTGTTGGCACAGGCTTATGGAGGCAAAGGTGCTGATAATCGGACTTGGAGGCCTAGCTGCGGAGGTAAAACGGGGCCGCGATGCATTTGTGGGACCGTCAGCTGCCAAAGGCGTTGCGGCTTGCATCGCCACATGGTTGCCGTGGCGCGCGTTTCATTACCTACCTTATAAAGGCTTGATAGTACCCGCTTGCATTATGAGTTTCCCCCCTCCTCCTCCTCCTCCGTTCCTCCTCCATCTTTTGCCTTGCATTACGGAGCCTTGTATTCCGGCTTCACACCCAGGTCGCCAAGAACATCGTGCTGGCCGGTGTGGGCACGGTGGCCCTGGTGGATGATACACCCGCCTCCGCCGCTGCACCTGGCAATTTCCTCGTAGAGCCGTGTACCGCATCAGCATCAGCATCAGCATCAGCAGAAAACAGCAGGAGGTGCGGTGCTAGTGCTGTTAATGATGCTAGTGCTGCTAATTATGCTATTTCTCCTAATGCTGCTAATGCTGGTAGTGCAGCTAATGCTGGTAGTGCTGCTAGCGCTGCTAATGCTGGTAGTGCAGCTATCGCTGGTAGTGCTGCTATCGCTGCTAATGCTGCTATTGCGGCTGCGTTCGTTTCTGCGCACCCGGCCCCGGGCCACCGACGGGGTGCTTTGTGTGTCTCGCGCGCCTGGCGCTACAAGGGGCGCTACGAGGAGGAGGAGGAGGAGGAGATGGAGACCTTTTGGAGGAGGAAAAAAGTGCTCCCGCGATGTAGAGTCTTCTTGCTCACCCTCCTCAGCAAACCAGGATAATAAATAACATCTCTGTTGATCCGTTGAAGATTGAAGTCCCCCGATTACATCTCGCTTCGCGTCCTGCGCCCCGCTCTCCTGCAGCGTTGCGGAGGTCAGTGCGGCCACACTTCAGGCCATGAATCCGCTGGTTTCGGTGCGAGTGGAGCCGGGACCGCCCAGTGCAGCGGCGCTGCTGGCGGCGACTGGCGCCCCAGCGCCGGACGATAATGATCTGGCGCCGCCGCGGCCGGAGAGCTCCATGGCGGCGCAGGCGGAGGCGGAGGCGCTGCGGTCATTGGTGTCGCGGTACGACACGGTGGTTTCGTGCGGTCTGGCGTTACGGGAGGTGGCGGCGCTGGACGAGCTGTGTCGACTGTACGGCAAGCAGCTGTTTGCTGGGTCAGTGCGCGGCGCCAGCAGTTTTGTGTTTGCGGATCTGGGTCCGAAACACACGTATACGGTCAAGGTGTGGATATGCGGTCGAGGGAAAAGGGGGGAGAGGAGGGTTGAGAGGCGGGCTCTCGGTATGTACGAACACACGTAATGTGCACTGACGCAGGTGCAGAAAATATCCCGTCCCATGCAGATACTGGTGCAGAAATTATCGATATATATATGTTTATTGTATTATATATATATATTATATGTTGTGTAGTTTTATAGAAATATTTATGATGTATTTTATTTTTTAATATTTAGCTCTATATTTGTTATATACATATATGTATATTTATATATTTATATCTTTTGGAACATTGCAATAGCTGCCAACATTCCCATCAGGTTTTCCCTCGATGTGGCGGTCTCCATTAGCGTTCGGGAGTTGTGTCGTATCGTACACCTGCCGTACCATCGCAGCACCATTGCCGTCCAGAATGTCGTAATACCCAGGTGTAGACCTGGTGTGCTGGGTCCGTACATGTGCTGAAGCGGGTCGTACAGCACTGTCTTCCGCTTCCTGTGTGTAAACATATTTTAATATTTACTCCTTCAGGGCTTCGTTTTTCCTTTTGCTCACGTTCCTTCCTTCCCTCCCCCCGCCCCCCATCCCACAACGCACACGGCGCGATTCACAGGGCGAAATTGGCGAAAAAGTGGTTGAGTACGGCACTTTCCAAGATGCCATGAAGGCCGATCTGTCAACTGTCAACAAACGCACCCACCCGCTGTATCTGGTGGTCAGAGGCGAGTCAAAATTACCGGGAGCGGTACTGTTGGGGGCAGTGCGGGTGTGCATGTGTGCGTGTGTGTGTGGGGGGGGGGAGAGGAGGGGGGAGGTTTTGGTTGGTAGCCTGGCAGGGCGGCTGTCACTAGGGGCTGTTTTTCTGTCGCCTTGTCGGTCGGTTTTGTAATACTGAAACCGCCAATGAAACCGCCAATGAAACCGCCAATCAAACCGCCAATCGAACCGCCAATGAACGGGCTGCTGCCTCAATGACACATCAATCAGTGCGGGGCTCGTGGAACCCCTTGCAGGGGGGTTTGAGATCTTTCCCTCCGTCTCGCTCCCTCCCACTTAGGCCAGGCCTAGTCGCCAGTGCCACCACACCGGGTCCTGGCCCCATTACACCGCTCGCCGCCTTGGCACCATCTCATGCCATCCCATGCCCCGCCACCCACTTCCGTACACCGTCGTACACGGCCCCCCCCCCCCGCGCCATATTGGTCATCTCCCTAATCAAAATATGTGTGTTTTCCTCTCGGGTTTTCGCTCGTGGTTGTGGTGGTTTCGGACGCAACGTGGGCAACGGGGCTATGGTCCGATTCCCCTAAACAGCCTGTTGGGAGTTTGAAAAGGAGCACAGCCGACCCGCCGCTGGTCTCGGGGATGCGGCGGCAGTGCAGGCCATTGCGCAGCGCCTGGCGGAGGCAGCTGCCGCCGCCAAGGCCGGCGCCGGTGCCGGCGCCGCCGCGGCCACGGCGGCGCTTCCAGAGGGCCTTGTGGAGGGCTTTGTGCTGGATGGCGGCAGGGGGAGAGAGGGGGCAGTCGCACCGGGCGCCGCCGTGGAGGCGATGGAGGCGGAGGCGGAGGCGACGCCGCTGGGGGAGCTGGCGCCTGTGTGTGCTGTGGTCGGGGGCGTGATGGCGAACAACTTGCTGCGTGCGGTTTCGCAAGTCAATCCCCCGCTCCGGAACCTGTTCTTCTACAGCTTCTTTGTGCGTGACGGCCTGGGCGTCGAAGAGTATTTTTAACGCGCCAGGCGACCCTCTGGGGTAATAATAAGACGAACCAACCACAGGGGAAAATGAAGCAGGTATACCGGAGATAGACGGATATAGTCCAGGAACGAACAGATCAGGAACTGCATCAGAATTATACTGACAGGTAGTGGTTTGGGTGAGATAGCTTGAGGTACCTCGCAGTACAGTTGTACAACATCTGTGTTTACTGCATTCGTTACTGCGCAAATTACGTAATGATTTGCGCTTGAGGACTTCTGGTATGTAGAGTATCCTGCTAAGTTGCTCTAGTAGATTAAAGAGGGCCGGGGCGGACAGTAGGCATGACAGAGGCTGCAAGGTGACATGGCAAGGTGACATGGAGTAAAATGGAATAAAATCGGCAATTATAATATAAGGAGGTTTTCGCACTTGATGTCATGGGCGGAAGGGGATGTGCACGTAGCCGCGTCCGGGGCGTGACCTTACATGTCTTGAAGTGGGCAGAAGTGGGGAGAAGGAAAAGGATTCATCGATTACGGCACGGCACACTCAAGGTATTCGGCAGGCCAAGGGAAAGTTAAAAAAAAGCACAAAAAAACGAGCTTCCGAAAAAGCCCTTTTTTAACTCCAGGTAAATCGACCTTCGAAGGGAGGCGGCCAGGGTTGTAGCATGACAGCGCTTTTCTTTTCTCTGTAACGCGCATGCAGGGCCAGTAAACAGGGAGCCGGAAATAAAAGCTGGGGTGGACGAAGGGGGACTATAAGAGTGGCTACAGCAAAAGGTCTGGATGCGGATGCCGAAAGGGAGGTTCGGCACTTCATTGTGGGGACGATGTTGCGCCGGCAGGAGGTCGTACACCATGCTGCAGCTTAGCAACCACAGTAAGTTTCTTGTAAGAGTTTCTAAGATCCTAAAATAGATTTATTGACTAGGAACCTATCATGCTGTTGAAGTCGGCTTGAAAATGGCTGTGCGGTCGGTTGATTGTGCGGCGGACGGTGCCGGCATCAAGGGAAGAGCATGACGACAGCGGCACCCGTGCAAGCCGGTTATGGCCGTCTTGAACGAGTTCTATTAGATCCTTGGCTCTAGGATCTCGACGAGAGAGATGCAGATTCTGCATCTCTCTCGTCGCGATCCCATAGCCAACGATCTGCATTGCAGATGCGTCTTTGCGAAAGCCCGGTCGCTGCCATGTTGTTGGTTGCCGTAAAATAACACCAAAAGCAAATAGCGGCACAAGAAGCAGGATGGCTGCCAATCTTTGGCTCTTTTGGCCTGCAGGGCACTGTTGTAACTTAGGCGAATTACTTTAACTTTAGAGATATGCTGCCATAGCATCCTCTGATTTACCATCACTTTCTGGAAAGTAGACAAACAATCTTTATACGCGGGGCCAGAAGACTTTGGCAAACCCTAAAGAAACTCGCAGCCTAAACGCACTGCATGCATCTCTTACGGCCTTGTTACGGTGCCCTCCTGTACTTAATAAGCGATTGATTCTGTTCCTCTTACAGCAGCGGGCAAGGCCAGCTCATTCCTCGCAGGCAATTTTAGCGGGCCCTGACGACAACGAGAGTTAATGGCAATAATTGCGTACAATTTAATTTTGTTTGGGACTGTTAGCTGGACATCAAAATGCTAGCTATAACTTGAAGGTCGAAACCGACGGTGCAGGACGTACAGTTTCGGTTAGGCGGGCTTGCTTGTGGGCGGGCTTGCTTGCGAGGTATTTACAGATCCTAGCTAATATTTATACATTGTTTGCTCGTTAGTGCACTCGCTGTGCTCATCGGAACTTATTCAGTCGGTAGGCAACCTCTTACGCTTCAGACCTCGCACCTCAAGAACTTGGCAGAGCTGTACAACAACATCCAAAGAAGTCCAAAGAAGGGGATTTTACCTTCTGCACCTGCTTAGTAGCCCTGCGGGCTTTTCGTGCACTCAGGTGCAATAATGTCCCGACTACAGGCAGGACTAGAGTTGATAGCCGAGCCCTCTTCTTCAAGCGGCCAGGGCTGGCTAATGCCAGACACGGAAATAAATAATATAGAAGCCCGTGCGGTGCCTCCCGTCCTTTTTGTGCTGAATCCCGCAATTGGACGCTGCGACATCAGCGTCTTGGACCTCAGCACCTGGAGTCCTAGCCACCTGTGCCCCGCGTCCTGGGCGTTGCAAGACAGCTCAAATAGAGTGGCCCACAGCTCCGCCGATGGCGCCGATGACAACTCCCCCGCCTCCGCCGCTGTCGCTGCTGCTGCTTGCGATAGCGGCGCAGCCGCTGCTGCTGCTGCTGCTGCATCAGAGCACTGCGCATCGGCGGCGGAGGAGCCCATCGCTGCCGCCACCGCCGCCGTACATGATACCACCACCGACGGCTGTGACGATGGCGTGGCCGACGGCACAGCAAAGTTCCCGACTTCGTCGTCGTCGCTGCCGCTGCGGCGGTGCCTTGCAGAGGTGCCAGCGGCGGCATCATCCCCTTCCACCTCCACGGCATTGCCGCCGCTGCCGCCGCCGCCGCTGCCGCCGCCGCTGCCACCGGAATACCCTAGGCCCATCCAGTTGAACGCAACGACATTATCACCGGCTCGTCCAACAGCTTGTCCAACTGTCAACAACATCTCAGTGGAGCGTTTCGCCGTCGGCCTCGGCGTCAGCGTCGGCGTTGACAGACGGCTCATTTGCTGTCCGGTGCAGCAGCCGCCATTGATGATGGTGGGTTCAACCGACGGCCCCGGCAGCACAACCACCACCACCACCACAACCACCACAACCACAACCACAACCAACGTTGCAACTGGTCGGAGCTGCCTGCGGCCGATCCGAACCTGGTCGTCCGTCGCCGCCAACTCGCAGAACTCGCAAGGTGGCGGCGGCAGCGGCGGCGGCGGCGGCTTTGAGGGGATGATAAGGCCCGCTAAGACCGTACGGTGGTTGGACCACGTCGCCCTGCAGGTGGGTTTGGGAGTTGGGGGTTGGGGGTTGGGGTGAGGACTATGAAACGGCGAACCATCCATCAGGCCATGGTTAAGAGTTAGTTAGGATGGTCCAAAACCGTACGAACCGCCCGAGGGGCAATGAGCACCGGGGATGGCTAGCTATGTGCCGTATTCGGTTCTGACGGTGTCATCTGGGCCCATTACGTGTATCGGTTCGTTCTGGCAGGCCGTGGCCGAGGCGCAATCGGTAGCTTCCTCATTGTACGGCATGGTCTCCGAAACACCTGACCGGCCAGTAATGATTACGGCGGCGGGGTTGGCGGAGGCGGCGGCGGCGGAAGGGCAGAAGGTGCCGGACAGAGGTGTGGCCATGTCGTTCGCGAAGGACCGCCGTACTGTACGGTATGTGCTCCAAACGTTGACAACCTTGCACTTGGAGGATACGTCAACGGGCAGCCAGGTGCCGTCGTCGACGTCAGCGTCGCCGCCGCCGCCGCCGCTGCCGCCACCGCCGCCGCTGCCGCCAGAGCAACAGCAGCAGCCGCACCACGAACTACTTCAAAATTTCCTCAGCCCTGAAATGCTTCGCGCATTGGAGCATTCGCAACCCATAAGTGGCGTCTACACATTTACGTGCACCGATAGCTCCGACCCGTCGATCTTTGTCATACAGCCGCCGTACGCCGCCGCCGCGGCCGCTCGCGACGGTGACGACGACCCAGCTTTGGAGCTCTCCCGCAGCGTCCCACTTGATTGGCTCTCTGGCGGCTGCTACGGCAAGTACGGCATGAATGGCGCCGGCGGCGATGATGAGGATGGCGAGGATGGCGACGGCGTTCTTGAAGGCATCCACGTCGGCGTCGGCGTTGACGTCGAGGATTCCGGCGGCGCCATCAGCGTGCTTGACTCATACACAGAGTTTGACGGAGACCCCGGCGGCGGCGCGGGGTGCGGACATACCCAACCCCGTCAACACCAGTTTGACCAAACGCAGCAGGCGGCGGTGGCAACGGCGGTGGCGGCGATGGGGTTGCAACGCGTGGCTCGGTCGTCCACACCGAACGCGATGGTGAGATGTACGGGTGGCATCACGCATGGCGACGGCGACGGCGACGGCGAACCGGGAAGCGCTTGCGGAGCCTCCGGCAGCATCATTTCCACGCTACAGACCCACAGCGGTACGACAGCGACTTTTGGATTTGGCGGCTGTAGCGGACTTCTCAACAGCAGCGGCGTCGACGTCAGCTCGCCCTCCACTGCCGCCGCCGCCGCCGCCGCCGGCATCGCGCCGCCCGGCGCCGCCACCGGCCTCGTGAACGCTGGCGGCGGTGGCGGCGGCGGCGGCATTTCGTCATGGAGCATTTCACAGCCAGTTGCAAGTCCGGACCATCTCGGTCGGGAGGTCGTACACTCTCCGGCGGCGGCGGCCGCTCCGTGTCGGCTCCGTGGTTGCTTTGGGGGCCGCCGTCGCCGCCTCTGCCGCCACGACGGCGGCGGCGCCGCAGCTGTGGCGGCAGCGCCGACGGCGGCAGGGCTGGATATGTGGTGGCGGCGGCTCCCCAAAGCGTTGACCCCGAGATCCAGTTTGAGCTTTCTAAGTTCTTGCGTGCGAAGCCCACCCGCGGAGGCCTTATGAAGCCCTAGGACTTGACAGCCGTATCTAGAGCTCCAGGAGTCTCATTCGATGCTAGGGTTTGGCTAGCTCCGGAACCAGCCTCCTGCACCTCGCCGTACATGTGCATGTGTTGTTGGTGGGGCCTGGTCGGACTGCGGAGGGAAAGAGTGAAGCCCTCTCCCCAAGTTTCGCAACGGTTCTTAGTTACCCCCCTAACCCGCGAATCCTCCCTCCCCCCCCCACCCCTCCCCCCCTACCCCCCTACCCACCACCACCTCCACCACCCGCGCCACCACCACCACCGGGGTTATCCATGTCCTGAATCCGATGCCGGCGTCGGAAGCCGTAGCTTTATGGAAATCGTCTCTTACTGTGTCTGACTTTATGTCTGTATGTGTCGGCCCTACATACCGTGTATATATGTATGCATGTATGTATGTGCGAGCGAGCGCATTAATCTAGATCCGGTAGGGGGAAGCATCGGCTTTGTGCGTGTGTATGTATGTACAGCTGGGCTGTGAATCTGTCCTGTGGTCGTGGAGGTGGAATTGGATGCGAGGTTGATTTGCAGTTGTACGAATGAGCGAGACGAGCATTTCCAACCCCACATGGGACCACCGCAACGCAGAAAGCGGGCCATACCGTACCCCATTTGTTGCCGGTGGTGCTCGAAACAAAAAATGAAAGTGGGACGAGCCATCTTCTAAAAATGAAAGTGGGACGAGCCATCTTCTAACAATTTGAGGATTTGGAAAATTTGGTGTCCGGGATTTAATATCCGTTACTGGGTGCCTCGGGCTAGTCAGTGTTGTACAGTGTCGTACGCCAACACGACCTACCCGTCCAAGGCTTCTGCCTATCTGCACGTGTTCTAGTTCTCTTGTTAGGTTGGGCGGAATGGTTTGGGTGGAGAGGACTCACCACCTGAGAGGGGGGGGGTATAGGGTTCTTAGGGTTTTACTGCTTAACTGGCTTACATGTGCTCACGACGGATCTCTATTACACTTACTGCACACAGCAGTTCGTCGGCCTCGCCACGGCCAGTCGTCTCCCCCGCCCCACCCTCCGCTCCTACCTCCTCCCCACCCTCCGCTCCTACCTCCTCCCCACCCTCCGCTCCTACCTCCTCCCCACCCTCCGCTCCTACCTCCTCCCCACCCTCCTCCCCACCCTCCTCCCCACCCTCCTCCCCACCCTCCTCCCCACCCTCCTCCCCACCCTCCTCCCCACCCTCCTCCCCACCCTCCTCCCCACCCTCCTCCCCACCCTCCTCCCCTACCTCCTCCCCTACCTCCTCCCCTACCTCCTCCCCCTTTTCTTTGTTCATTGTCGTGTCTCGGTGTTTATTTTAGATCGCCGCTTCCAAAATGAATTCGGGGCCCCCGTAGGGTTGATCGACTTCGATGCCAGCGCAATAGTTAATCTCATCTCATGTGTTATCGAGTGAGTGTTGGGGACCTCTGTCGCGTGCCCCTCTCCACCCTGAACGGCGTACCTGCAGCTAGCTGGTACACAGTACGGATGCGCATTGATGTGTATGTATTGGTGTATGTGTATTGGCGTGTATGTGTATTGGGGTGTGTGTGTGTGTGTGTGTGTGTGTACAGGAGCCTCGTTTTCATTGGGGGGCATTTGGGGGGGTCGCCAGCTGTGGGCGGTTAATTGTTTGGTTCGTTGATTCGTTGGTTGGTTAGTTATAAATAATGGATGACTCGTCGGTTGTCGTACTGCATGTCCTTATGCTCGATTCGCTGCAATCATAATGCTGTTACTCGTATGTTTAATTTCGTAAGCTCTGAAGAATGTGAACCAACCACTCCTGGGTTAACATGCATGGGCTCCTCAGGGATGGGGCACCCCAGTCGATATTTTCTTGCCGTACCACTCCTACGTGCCGTACTACCCACCCCAACCCTCACACCGCGGACACCTGCGCGCGTGTCCACCACCGCCATTACCACCCCACCCACCCCACCCCACCCCACCACGCCACGCCACGCCACTACGCATTGCATTGTGCTGCATGTATGTATGTATGTATGTATGTATGTATGTATGTATGTATGTGCAGCTTTTACATTACATTTGTTGGGTTTTGCAATAATGATGTGCTCGGGTGCGAATGCTTTGTCTTGCTAGTCTTGCTAGCTTCAGTCGCGCCAGTACTTCAAATCATGGAGGTCAGTGATGGCAGTGGGATGAATTGGGAGAAACCTGGACATAGCTCTTGACTGATGGATAGATTTAAAAATAGATAGATAGATAAACAGGTAAGATGCTAATAACGTACGTCATCATCATCAGCAGCTGCTTTCTTATTTTCGCATAGATATCTCGTATGGATGCTTTCCTGTTAATAAAGCAACGTGTGGCAAGACGAGGGATGTAAAGATAACAACGATAACAAGGTAGGCGACTGGCAGAGGTTAAGGCCTGACTTCTGCTCCCGGTCGACCCGGGTTCATATCCGCCTGCCGACTTCTCGGGTGTTTGAGAGGTGGTGAAATGGGAGGTGGCCCCCCATCTTGTGGACGGTGTAGGACGTGATAATGTCAACTCGCGAGCTGACCAGGAACTAAGTTGAGGCGCCGTTGATCCGCTAGATTTGGTTGGATGCTGGTGGTGAGTTGCCAAACTCAAAGAGTACATTCTAAAGTCGGATGGGGTGAATGGCTTAGGGTGCCCCTCTAGCAGGGGAGAGCAGGGAATTGCCTCGGGAAGGAGGCCACTGGTGAAGCTTAACCACCCTGTAACAACATCAACAACATCAACAATGTACGGATCAAGCAGTTTGTGTTGGTGATGGGAACGAGATGCGTGTGTTGGGTTTGTGGTCCTTTCAGCTAGCCATGTATCAATATTTACCGTACATGCCGTATATGCCGTACATGCGCTCTTGAGTCACCGTGGCGGGTGTGATGTTCACCACCCGTCAAACTGCAGGTGGGGTGTCGATGGCGCACCGCACCCAGTTAAAGATGCATAACACTAACAACCACACACATAACAAGGCACTAAGCCAGCTGGGCCTGTCGTGAAAACATCTTTTGCTTTAGTGGTGAGTGAAGGCTTGTAACAATAATGAGTTAAAGGAGTTGTCGTTGTCGTTGCCCTGGCTGGGTGAATAACGACTATAGGTGATGCACACATAAATACTGGAGCCCGCTGTAACAACCATCACACACACATAAATACTGGAGCCCGCTGTAATGACCATTACACACACATAAATACCGGAGCCCGCTGTAATGACCATCACACACACATAAATACTGGTATTGGTAGTGGCTGGTGATGGTGGCTAATGGAGCGACTTACACAGAGGTGCTACACACGCAGTAAAATGTTCCTAATTAGGCTCCTCGCTCAGCCAGCCCCTTACTAGCGCGCACACGCATACATATATAAGGGTTTGGCACCACTGGTAAAGCGCGACCATTGCCCCCGGGAGATCCCGGGATCGATACCCGTTAAGGTCAAAGTCCTTTCGATGGTGGAAGGCATTGCGCCCCTAGTTAATGGACGGTGGTGACCTGGGATGAACTTAACCTTCGAGACGATCAGGAATGGAGTTGGGCCGCTATCGACCGGCAGATTCCGTTGGATGCTGGTGGTGGGTGCGGAACCTGAGCGATCCACTGAGAAGTTGGCTAGGGTGACTGGATGAGGGTGCCCCGAAATACCGGGGAAGGCAGCGTTTCGCAGGGTAGCTGCCACGGGCGAAGATACACCCCCCTGCTTCACACATCATATATACATACATACATACACACACATACATAAATACACAGGCAGCGGCCAGCAACCTCGGTCACCCGGGGAGCGGAGGGGGGCGGGGCTGGAAACTGAGGATACGTCGCGGTGCGGGGTCGTGGAGCGTGTGGGTTAGCGATTCGTGGTTGGGCCGGCTGACCGCTCTAAAGTCAGACTCGACCTGACAGCCAGACTCGCCAACCCAGCTACAGTTGCAGGAGAGGTAGGGGCCGCTAGGTCGAGCGCGTCAGCGACTGCAGGGCGCCTGTCAATAAACAGGAGGCGTGCGAGCAGCGTGGAACAGCAGCATAGTCTGCTGCCGTACGCACGTGTTTTTTTTTGGTCGATGCTACAGTCTCATGACGCGACAGCTGTGCACCATCTCACCGGACGCATCGTGTGCGATAGAGATCTAAAGGTGATGTGATACATATCATATGGCCCATCACGTGGGGTAACGCGAGCACAAGGAGGCGCGCTAAGGCGGCGTCATAGCGCCGTAGCGTCTCCTTGCGCTCGTGTTACCCCACGTGATGGCCCAGAGCCGACGCAGCATATTCCTCACACCGGCAACACCCGCCCCTCCATAACGGCCCCCCTGAGCTGTGTGGGTGGGTGCGGCCAGTGCTGTGGCCGGGGGGGGGGCCCAGAAGTGCGCACACGCCGCGCGCCCGCCGCTTCTGGACCTGCCCGGTCGTGGTGACCATGGTGCAGCATGATGTACGCATCAGTTCTCTTATAAGCTGTGTGAGCTTCGTACTACTTTTATACTTGCTATTGCCGTTATTACTACACTCGCAGGAATGCTTGCTTTGCCCCGTCCTGCTGAGGTCTGCGAAGGGTGACGACTCCTTCGGGGATGGCGCGCTGTTGCAGTTGTATCGTTTTTTTTATCGTTTCTAACAAGATTCCGCCGTACATGTCTTAGGCCGTACACTTCTTTTAATACTGTAATTCACTTGTTGGCTCCCCTCTCGCTGCAGCAATAATGGCTGTTGACTGCCCATAAGCTCCCCGGCTTCCATGGACGGCTCCCCTTCTCTTTCCCCCCCCCCCTTTTTTGTGCGGAACCCTTATAGCCCGTATAACCCTGAAGTAGGCTGGACGAATGGGGTGCTCCGATAGGGGTGGAGGTCGTCTGGCTTCGATTTCATAATGTGCTCCCCGGAGGCCGGAGGCGCTCCTCTTGGGAGGAGGAGGCTACTGCTCACCCCAGGGGTCCAGTGTGTACAACAGCGTTGACAGGAGTGTGGCCCCTCGTTGCGATC